CAGGCGCGCGCTACCACGCCCGGCTCATTTTTGATTTATTGTAGAGACGAGGGCTCGCCAAGTTGCCCAGGCGGGTCTTGAACTCGCGGGCTCAAGCCATCCACTCACCTCAGCCTCCAAAGGCGCGGCTTTTGTTTTTTAAGGAAAGACTTGTGTGTACTTGAAGGCAGAGGAAAGCCCCCAGTGGAGGAGGAAACCACGGGGGGTGCTCAGGGGTGAGGGGGACAGTCAGGGACCTCTCAGACTCAGGAGGTGACAGGATCTGAGATATGGCAGAGGGTGAGGGCTTCGCTCTGCTAAGCGGGGAAAACACTTTCCCCTGAGTGCAGAGGGACGCGAGGGGCGTAAATGAGGAGACACGTGTGTGTCAGTGACAACCAAGAGGACAAGAGACCACCTTGGTCTGCTTGGCAAGTCAGTGAGGTGAGTTTCTCATCCACCGTGAGAGCATTTGCGAGTTAGGAAGCTCAAGCAGAAAGCGCAGTGTAGACGGCTCAAGTGTGGATCTCCAGAGAGATCTGCGTGGGAAGGGTGGGGCTGAAGCCAGTCTTTGCCAGGTTCTCGTGCTCCGTGGCCTTTCTTCGCTTCTCCGTCCTGACTGCAGAAAGCCTTCCTGGCCTCAGGCTGGGTCCTGAAATCAGAGTCCAGCGGTCCTTGGCTGGGCCCGACGGCACCGTCTCCTCCCGATCCCCGTGGTCTCTGGGATTCTCTCGGACCCTCTGAAGGCTGAACACACGTCAGGAACCATGCTTCTAAAGATAGTTTGTCTAGCTGGGCTCCGTGGCTCACCCCTGTCATCCCAGCACTTTGGGAAGTGGAAGCGAGAAGATGGCCTGAGCCTAGGGATTCAAGACCAGCCTGATCTCTTGGCCAGACCTCATCTCTACAATAACTTGGCCAGACCTCATCTCTACAATAAATCAAAAATTTAGCCGGGCGTGGTGGTGCACACCTGTAGCTCCAGCTACCTGGGAGACTGAGGCAGAAGGATAGCTTGAGCCCAGTAGGTCGAGGCTACAGTGGCCGTGAGCGTGCCACTAGAGCAGCCTGGGTGACGAACTAACAAACTAACAAACAAACTAAGTAACTAACTGTATCTGAGTCACAACAAGTCTCCAGTCGGCGTCACCAAAAGCATCTCCTTCGCCTGTCACCTCAGGAACACAAAGCCCAGAAGGGCAGGCACAACCGTCCATGTCCCGGAGACCTGAGGGTTCAGACATTACCTATAGGGTAAGGGCCATCCCTAACTGGATTCCCTTCTCATATTTTAGGAGAAGAGGAGGAAGGTGAAGGTGATGAAGACGGGATGGACGGTGCGGTCCGGGACCCTGGGCCCCGGGCGCCGGCGGGGAAGGTGTCGGAGGCTCAGCTCGCTCGGAGACTGGGCAGAGTGAAGTCCAGCCGGCGCATGCTGTCCAACAAGCCCCAGGACTTTCAGGTAGACACAGCCCTGGCACGCTGGCTCCTCCCCTAACCCCTCACTGCCCATCTTTCTGCAACCGCCGTGACGTGCCGGTAGGTCTGAGCCTACGGGGAATGGCTCAGCCAGTAAACGGGGGTGTCTGTGCATAAACCCAGGAAGAAGAGCTTCCCATCATTCTTCTGCATGCAGAAGTGGGTTTAGTGAGGCCAGATAAGGTTCTTCGAGAAAGAGAATTGAGGCCAGGTGCGGTGGCTCACGCCTGTCATCCCAGCACGTTGGGAGGCTGAGGTGAGTGGATTGCCTGAGCCCGCGGGTTCGAGACCTGCCTGG